GATAGATAGATAGATAGATAGATAGATAGATAGATAGATAGATAGATGGGTGGATAGATGAATGGGTGGATAGATAGATAGATAGATAGATGATAGATAGATAGATAGATAGATAGATAGATAGATAGATAGATAGATGATAGATAGATAGATAGATATAATAGATAGATAGATAGATAGATAGATAGATAGATAGATAGATAGATAGATAGATAATACATACATGCATACCTAGATAGATAGATAGATAGATAGATAGATAGATAGATAGATAGATATAGATGATAGATAGATAGATAGATAGATAGATAGATAGATAGATAGATGATAGATAGATAGATAGATAGATAGATAGATAGATAGATAGATAGATACGTAGATACATAGATAGGATAGAGACATAGATAGAGACATAGATACTCTGGGGATAAAAGGCAGGAGGCGGAAATGAATAGGTGTGATAGACAACTACTTGTCTCCCCTTTGGTCCGCCACTGATAGCCTGCACTTCAGAATCCTGTCTGAAAATTATGTAGCCTGCTGTGAGAGAGCGGTTTCTGGCGCTCCTAATAAAGGGAGTGTTTTGTTAACTACAAAGGGCTTGTCATGTTTGGGAGCTGGGTCAGAACACTGAAAAGCGGTCGTAAGTCACTTTTTTCAGTGCCGTTGTAAACTTGGAACGGTCACTAAATCAACCGTTGTAAGTTGGGGATTACCTCTATTGTGATCCGTGTTTTCAGCACTGATTTTTATTTTTATTTTCAGATGCCTCTCAGACAGGTGAGGAGCACAGGCCAGAAGATGGAAGAAAGAAAGAAAGAAAGGAAGACATTTCAGACTGGAGAAGGTTTCGGAGCTGACGTGTGGGACAATATTCTTTTGGTGCCCCTTTTTTTTTCTTTTTCTTTTTTTTGGACATATATGGTTACCTCTGCAAGAACACATCCCTAATAAACATTCAAGAGCTTCAGAGAGCAAATAAAGTAATCTTCAGCAAAGGAAACATGGAAATGCTGTCATTTGTGTAGCGAATATCCCTCATTTTACAGTAGCCTGGAAATGCATTTATAAAATCCCTCTTGGAATTATTTTAGGAAATGGAACCTCGTTTGCACTGATGAGAAGCAAACGTTCCCCATCTCGGCAATCGGTTTTTAAAATCATCAAATTTTAAAACCGGCACCTCCAAGTTAGCTTACTTTAGTACATGATTGTTATCTCCAGCGACCAGCTGAGTCTTATTTGCTTGATTTCGTTCTTTGAACCACCCAGCTTTAGCTGTTTGCTTAAAAGATAAATCAGAGGCAGCAAAATAATAAAACCCAATTTTGTTTGTGTTGTCTTGCAGATTTTCTTTTGTGTATGCATCCTTCCTCAAAGCCCACTTTTTTAGCCCTTCGTGAAATGGTCAATTCGTCCTTTTATATCATTCTGAATGTTTCATCAAAGGAAGGAAGGAAGGAAGGAAGGAAGGAAGGAAGGAAGGAAGGAAG